GCGTCCAATTCGAAATTGGCCGCTAGATCGAAAGCGCATCGCTTTAATTTGAACGAACGGACGGATCGTCTTGAGGAACGCTATTGGTCAGTATGGACCAATCATATGATGACACGTGGCAGACAGCGGACTGATGTCTTTTTCCCTTGTTGGCTGCACAAAGTTCATTTTCTTTTTCCCTCTCCTTCCAATTTTCATAGGCATGATCATCAGTTTGCAGTTCGTGCTGACAGATTGGACAAGAATTGTGCACATCCTATTTGGTTAAGAAAAAGAACTATCCAAGTTAACATCTCTGCAGCATATAGTGGAATTTACTATGAACGAGTTAAAATACTCCTTTTACCAGCCATGGCTTAAGGCAAGGAGGATGAAACATATGCTTGCAAGGTAACTCTTGCATCTTATCGTTTGCAACCAAATTCTCCTGGCAAATGGAACAAACGGCATCTTCCCCCAGCTTCACCAACACATCTTTTGTAACAATAGTAACTGGAAGCTTAGCCACCACTTCTTTACTCGCAAGTGGTACTCGAGGGAGTCCAAAATCAGTATCCAGAATCTTGAACCAATCAACAATGAAGTAAGATTCATATCAAACTATGACATGACTGAATTAGGCAAGAAAAGGTATGTCATCCTGAGTAAACTAAAGTTGACAGGTCGTATCCTACTGAAACACCAGTGCACAAGTGCATGTCCACACACATCTTTGAGAACAAGTTTCTTTATTCTCATAAAATACTGTTGACATTAGTATTAATCAATGTATAGAACACTTAATCCAGAAACACAGGCATTTGGCGAAGCAAATTCAAGCTATATAATAATACAAAAATAAACTCATTATAAACCACAAACTGTCTTGGAAATCCATAATTAAACATAAAAAAAAAGATCTATAAAGTAGCAAATAACAAATTAGTATCGCATAACAAAATTGTAATCCATTATTACAGCTAAACAGCCTACAGGTCTCCAACATCACTACGAATAGGATATTAAAATTATAAGCATATTTGATTCTCATACGATCCTTCACATTAGTCTCATTTTCTTCCCATTTTGAACCCTTATCCTACACTTACAATCGTTTATTTCATTCCACTTCCCCTTCCATATAAAGACACTGTCATGTCTCCTTGCCCGTAAATTTTAGATGGAAAGAACTTACCTTTTCAGCGGCGGCGGTGACAATATGAATTTGGGAGATACGGAAGCACGGGCAGGAGAAGAAATTCTCAGATTTGCTAGGGTTTTTGTGTGGGGAGAGAGTGAAAAGGAAATGAGCGAAATGCCCAAACGATGGATAAAGATACTTGAATAATAAATAAAAAGATCCTAAAAGTGACACCTTGATAGATTACTGCTGTTGATTGCAGCCATTTGTGCTGCAAGCTTCCTGAACATGCACCAACAGATAGAAGTAATTAAATTAAAAGGTACAAAAATCCTATTTATCAATTCGGAAATTCTACTCAAATTTGACTTTCACTACATTAAGCAACATAATAGATTATTTCTATTTACAAGTAAATATGTCTCATTTTGTGAGTAACAAAAAAGGCAAAACCTATTCACCAATTCTACACAAATTCAACTATTCTATGTTCTCAAGAACATAATGAATTATTTTTTTACAAGTAACTACATCTCTTGCCTTTTTTCTTTACCAAGTAAACTTACATTTCTTAACACATATATCTTTTCATATTACCAAAGATAAACATAACAACAGTAAAAAAACTTCTTCTCAAATTCAACGCTTCTATGTCATGCAGATTATAATAAACTATTTTCTTTTACAGTTAAATGTATCATTTTTCCTTTCGTTTTCCTTAGAGGAAAAAAATACAAAAATTACAGTAAAAAAACACAAATTAAGGAAGGATGGATAGCCAACCTAGTGACAGGTCGATGAATGGGAATGATAGGTCTCTTATTTGCATCAACATTTTTCCTGAAAATATATATTGTTATGAATAAAATATTACTAAAACATTAATGTAAAGAGAAAACATCAAAGTGTCGGGTTTACGAAATTCAGACCCTGTTAAAAGACCTCTAACGTGGACTGCACATGCATAAGGGGAAGGTGCAATTATGTTCCTATTTATCGTACTCAGTACTCGATATTTGCGTATGCAGCACGGAGAATCCGTGCGCGGACACAAATGTTCGGAAAAGTTATTAACTAACTATGTCATCATATCACGCAAAATAAATCTTGTTAATATTCGTTTAAGTTCACATATTTCAAGTTAGCGAAACCTTGAGCAAGCTTAAAGTAAAAATATATTTGTATATGGAGGGGAGGGGAGGGGGCATTTCCTTTTCTCTTGTGAGGGTTTACACTCTGGAGGGGACTGGAGTTGAAATAATTTCAAAAGATTTGGCGTTGATCAAATAGAATGACGTGGACTAATCTGCATAAAAAAAAATAAACAAAATGTCATATCCATCTAAGGAATTTAAGTGAAAAATAAATTTCTATAGTAGTTCAATAATTTAAGCAATCAAAATGTCAACTGAACTATTTTATTGACATTGGGTAAGCCAAGAACAAAACGCACATTTGGCAACCACAAGTTTAAAACAGAAAATTGAGTCAATTCTGCTTTTAAATTTCCAGAACTACCTAAAATGAAGCGAGCAAGGTAAATACAATGTTTGCATTTTGTATTGCCTCTACCCTTCTGGTAGCAAAGTTTTTCCCATCTCGCACGCGGTGCACTTGATATATAATTGGCACTGTAAATCAGTTATGATTTCATGTTGAAGAGCTTTTGCATTATAAAAATAAATAAATAAAAACGCATTTTAGATATGGATTGAATTTGTTGTGAAATATATTAGAACAATGGTAAAGCAAATCTAGAACTTCCAGTAACTTTAATTACAAAATAATCTTTTAAATTATATGTTGAATAATAATAATAATAAAAAATTATGTCAAGAAAACGTTTTATGGCTTGACTTGGGACATGAGACCAGAGAGGGAGAAGAGCCGACTAATGTAAAGAACCAAGAGTCTTCTCCTTTGCCTCCTGATCTCAATAAAGTATCTGAACAAATTGACCAATATATCTCTAATATGTCTAGCTTGAAATATGATGATTCCAATTCCCCCAAAGTGCCTATTTCCTGATTATGTAGTACCAGCAACTTTATAGGACAGGCTTTTAAAGTGAGAGACCTCTTATTAAGAAGCATTGAAGCTTCTAGGAAAACAAAACAATTTAACAAAATAAACTCTCTCTCCTACTGGGAATATCCAATTTTCTTCTGCCTTGTCATTACGGGACTATATGAATGATAAATAAGATAGACTTACACAGATAGATCATGTTCACAAGATAATTGAGGTGACATCTATACAATTTGAATAGAACTAAATATTTGCATCAATACGAAAAACAATTGAAAGAAAGCTATCGCACAGAGTTGTACATGGTAATTTCGTATTATAAGGTTTAAAACCTGTGAATACACACCTCTCGACAACTTCGCGATACTCTTGGTGGATGTTTTCTCTTAAAGTCTACAATAAAAATTATTAAGAAATACTGAGGAATGGAAAGAAGAATTGGAATAAATTGAAACCTCTCCATTATATGGTGCATCTAATTTACTTGGAACTTAGACATTTTGTCTTTGAACTTCTTCCTCAAGGCCATACATTCAAATATAATGACTTCCTTCACTTCATATACACCCACATAAGACATGCCTTCAATGATTCAAAATACTTTTTAATGTCACGTCGCCAATGAAGCAAAAATGGTTGAAAAGATTATATTCATTTTCAGAGTATAATGTGTATAAAATGTCTATTTGTTTAATGCTCACCATTGATCCCACTCCAACTAATGTATGACGCATTTTATTTTTATGACTATATATAATCAGAGTTAAATACGAAGATAGAAAGCAACAGTAACTTTATGTTCAACCTAGATCATCATGGTATAGTCCCTTTAAGAAAAACTCACCAAAAATGGTGTGTATATTATCCAGTAGAACTATATCACAAAATAAAATTTATGA